GCACCATTGCCTCATTTATCCTGCAGGGTGCCCAATGTACTGACGCGTTTCAGGTGCATTCCTTACAATGTGGTGATACCCAGCACACCATATGTACACTAAAGAGCCCCGACCAGTAGAATGTCAATAGGCCCCTGTGTATACAGGGAACACCCAGCGACCGTACACAGGGGCCCATCTCCACTACACAATGGGACCCCATAGAGGAGGAGTCCAGCACTATACAAAGAGCAATGTCCCCGACACAAACTCCTCACCGAACACCGATCTCAGGGATCTGTCCACCGCCGGGTCCCGCACACTCAGAGCCGCCATCTTTACACACACACACCGCGGTCCAACACTCAAATCCCTCCGCCACTGGACTTCCGGCGCATCTCCGGGGACTGTCCCGGCTCTACTTCCGGGGAACAATAACACAGAGTTCCGGAACTAAAGTGTCTCCCCCACACCTCAGACCAACGAGAGGAGGGGAGATCACACCGACAGGTCTGTCTATAAGATGGTGTGCGGTGTATGTGAGACCAACTCCGGCCTGCGCTTTCCTATTACCTCGCATTCCCTTCTCCCTTCCTCTATCCTTCCAGGGGGAGACTCTAGCTACCCTTTCTTCATAAGTCTACACAAAACCCATAACCATAAAAATAATACAATCACCCCTCAATATTAGAACTATCCATTTAACAACATCAACTCAAATCAAACATCTAAACAGTTTTACCCAACACCTACACCTCCCAAAAACTCACAAAATAAGGCAACAACACTGAATTAAAAGACTTCTATATTACCCCTAAAAAACCATCATCTTAAAACCCTTCTACTTCCCTTCAAAATACTCTTCTTCCTCAATTCTATCCCATCTCTTATACTCTTCCTTCCTTCACCACTCTCCAATTCTTCCATCTATAAAATTATTTTCATCACCTTCCTCTCTCAAAAGTCTCTTCCTTACAATCTATTCCAACATACAAACAACTTCCTTATAAAATAAATTTAACTATCATCCTAAATTTCAATCAAAAAACATAACAAAAAAAACAAAAAAAACCCCAAAAAAACCCCAAAACTAAAATAAAACACAACCCCAAAACCCCCAAACACTAACCCCCAAAAAACCCCCAAACAACAAACCCCCCAACAAAATCCACCCCCACCCCCCCACAACCCAAAACCCCCCCACCAAAACCCAAAAACCCACACCACCCAAAAATCACCCACCCAAAAATAACCACTAAACCAAACAAAACCAAAACCAATCCCCCCCAAAACAAACCAACACCACCAAACAAAAAAACCAAACAACACCTAAAAACACAAACAAAACAACCCATCAAACCAACACAAACCCAAATTCACCAACCCAAATCCCCAAATGACACCTATACAATCCTAAACCAACCACAAAACCACAACATCACAAAAAAAATACAACAATCAATCCCCACCACTCACCCAAAATCCTACACACCAAAAATCTTAAAAAATCACCATAACAACGTACCCACCCAACACCCACACATCCTCCCATTCTTTTATCCAAATACAACAACATTCATCAACCCACCACCCACCACACAAAACCCTAAACCACCCACCACCCCACAATTTTCCCCCCCCCACCACAACTTAAACACCATCACTCCTATACACACCCTAAAAAATACCCCCTTTCCCCCCATAATCCAATCATACACCCCCATTCCTCTTTATTAAAAACTTAAACAACCAATATCCTTAAAAAACCACCAACATACTACAAAATCCAAAAATCCATAAATTTACACCCTGTCCCACCTACATCAAATTCCCTCATTACTAAATACATTTAATCCTCCCCCGTCATACGCATTATAAAGGGTGCAATTCCTCTCCCTCTACTTACCCCTACTTCCTCCCCTCTCGCCTCCCCACTTCCTCTCCATCTCCTCATCTTTTCCTTACTCCTCTACCCCTCAACGATCCCCTTCATCCACTCATTCCTTCTTCCTCCTCCTCCGTCGTTCTTTAAAAATTCTCAGTTGACCCCCTCACTCCTCTTCCTCACCCTCCTTCTTACACTTCCCCTACCTCCCCCCTTACTTTTATAACCTTAACTTCCTTCCCTTCCTCCTCAGATACCATATCAAGCTCCCGGACTGAGGTTCTCATCTCCCTCCGCTACTCTTGATCACTTCCTCCAGTCTCATATTGTTTCCTTCTTCCATCCTTCTCCCCCCTTCAACACTCGCACCACCCGCTCTTTCCCACTTCTCTTTCCCCCCTTGCTCCTCCTTCGTCTTCGGCTTGAGTCTTACCCTCCCGCCAAACTTAAACTTAATGCTTTTCGCCTCCTCCTTTTACTTCCTACTCTCTCCTCCTCCCATTCTTCTATCCCTTGCTTCCCTTCTCCTTCTTCCCCCCCCCCCCCCTTTCCCTTCCCCCCTCCTCTATCTACTTCCTTCCCTCATAACTCCATAACTTGTTCGTCCTGTCTTTCCTTGACGGTTCCTGCATCTAGCTAGTCTTTCCTTCTTCCCATTTTACCTATTCTCTTGTCCCATTATACATCATTTTTATTATTGACATCTTGCAGGCGGAGCACTATAACTCGTTCCTCTGGAATTCATCTGGCATTGGACGTCTCCTTGTACTGTTAGTCCTGTAAAGTGATTTTTTACATTGTTACCATTTCCTCATTTCTTTATTCCAGGATATCAGTCTGCTGAGAGACTCGCACAGCAAGGACTGCTCCCCAGTACCCTGAATGAGAGGGGGAGGGGCATTTAATACATTTTTCGTGGGTCCAGAAATGGCCGCTGGCAGACACATTTTGTGGCCTGAGCAGGCGCTACTGGGGTGAAAAAGGTGTGTTGTGCATTGCAGGTCATACAACACATTGCAACATTACTACATAAAATGTCTAAAGCCAGGAATAATAGTGGATTGCAGATCACCAGTCTTTATATGTGGTGGCTGTATTAGTTTTATGCTTTTTAAACCCTTTTTTTTTCTTTATTATTTCCCCTGGTAATCCTGCCAGTGACACACCTCCCATCCATCCCTGGGTGACAGAATATATAAAGCAATACAAATCCCTTGGCAAGTTAGACTCCGGCCTTCCCTTCAGTCTTGCACAGTTATAGCAGCTCCTCTCCTGATTACTCTGATTTCTCTGCACACTGTGAGCTTCTCACATTGTGCATTAGAAGCTGCAGTGAGTCAGATCTCTGCCTCATTTCCTGGCTGGAGGACGTCCGGACATTCATTTAGCATTTCCTTCCCTGCCTGACTGTCCCTGGCTCCGCCTCTTTCATTCATTGGATTTTCAGTTCTTTTAATCATGGAGGCTCAGCATCACATATGGGTGTTACCTAGGGCGGTCTGCATGCAAATACAATCTGCCTAGCAACACCCACTCCTCCAGACTGACATCCCACCCATCAAGGCATTTTGATATTTGCATAACCCCTCCCACTGCTTGCATCGGTACTGAGAGTTCTTGAGAGGAGTACTTGGACACGGTGCTGTGAAGTTTTCAGGAAGCTATGTACAGCACCTTGGCGGCCCCCGACCAGCCATTATTACCAGATGATCTGCCTAGAGAAGCACAGAGACTTGGTGTTGACATCACTGGGGATAATCTAAGATAGGTAGTGAAAATGTAAAGGTTTTTATTCATTTCATCAGCATGCTGATGAGGAGGGAGAGGAGGAAGGCGTCAAAGAAAACAGAATAAACTTCACCTCTAAAGTAAAAAAGTTGTATTGAAATATATTGCTCAATAGCCACAAATTATATAAATCTACTTTGTGTGCACCAAATGCCCCTGCAAACCCAGATATTACCCTGTAAATGTAGCAGTGACATCATCACTGTGCTGTACATAGCCCATGCAGAGAGCAGAGTTGTGGGAGGAGCCCAGCAGTCTCCACCCACTACAGAAAACTACAGGAAGGGGGGCGGAGACGAGACCAGTCACATTGCACAAGAAGAGAGCAGAACTGTGGGAGGGTCTGCAGGCTCCACCCACTACAGAAAACTACAGAAGAGGGCAAGACCAGTCCCCCTGAATAGGGAGAGGAGGCAGAGCTGTGGGAGGGGCCCAGTAGGCTCCACCCACTACAAAAACCTACTGGAGGGAGCAAAATAAGTCCCCCTTCATAAGGAGAGAACACAAACCAGTGGGAGGGGCCCCAGCACGCTCCACCCTTTGCAGAAAACTGCAGGAGAGGGGCAAGGCCAGTCTTCCTGCATAAGGAGAGGAGCCAGAGCTGTGGGAGGGGCCTAGTTGCTCTACCCACTACAGGAGAGGGGCAAGACCAGTCCTCTTGCATAAGGAGAGAATGCAGCTGTGGGAGGGGCCAAATTTGCTCCACCCACTACAGGAGAGGGGCAAGACCAGTCCTCTTGCATAAGGAGAGACAGCAGAGCTGTGGGAGGGGCCCAGCAGGTCCCACGCACCATAGGCTGCCTGCAGAAAATAAAGGAGGGGCGGAGACAAGACCAGTCCCTCTGCATAAGGAGAGAAGGTAGAGCTGTGCCCTGTAGGCTCCACCCACTACAAAACCTACATGAGGGAGCAAGACAAGTCCTCTGCATAAGGGGAAAGAGCTGTGGGAGGGCCCAGCAGGCTCCACCCACTACAGACTGCCTGCAGAAAGCTACAGGAGGGGCGGAGACGAGACCTGTCCCCTGCACAAAGAGAGAGAGCAGCAGTGAGCGGTCTTTATTCCAGGAAATCTCACACTGGATTACTGCACAGATCTTGAAGAAATACACAAAGCTCACCGAGATTCAAGAAGAAGACACATGAATGGGTGTAGACAATATTTGTTAATCCCGGAGTTCAGGCGTTAGGAAAAAAATATTAATTTGTCTACAGCTTTCCGCTACAATGTGTCAGTAAATGTATCTTTTATTGTATGTATTATAATAATCATCCTTTTTATATTGTGGGTTTAGATAATCCTACCTTCCTCCAAAGAAGTCTTGCATTCATTCTTTCCACTGGCTGAAGAATGGAATTGGACGATGATCGATTTCCTGACGTCCCGGCACTTCTCACACAGTCCGCCTTCTCTCAGAAATACAGGTACGCTCCCGACATGGGTGCGCAGGAAACTGACAAATGTTTATTTTTGGAATGATCACAGCGGTCACATGACTGAAAGCTGGTCCCGCCAGCTACTGATCTTTAGTCTGGACCGAGCACTTTCCTTCACAGCTCGGTCTTTTTGCTGGGAGAACGCATCGAGCGCACTCTCAGCGCAAAAATACCGGTGGCCGTCCAGTGACGAATAAGTGCACAGTGTGGGCATTAACCACTTTATTACCGCCCCATAGCCGAAAGATGGCTGCAGCGTGGTTCTGGGAGGGCATCTATAGACTTGCCTCCCATGTGTTGGAGGGAGCAGCCCTTTACCATGTGATCAGCTGTGTGCATTCACGGCTGATCCCATGTAAACAAACGGCAGTTATTGGCATTTCCTTTCCTCATGCGCTGTCCACTGTGTGAGGAAAGGAGAGCCGATGACCGGCAATCCTGACAGGACACATTTACACTGATAATCGGTGCTGATCATCAGTGCCCTGATCATCAGTGCAACTTATCAGTGCCCATACTTGCCACCTCATCAGTGCAGCCTTGTCAGTGCCTCCTCATCAGTGCCCATCAGCACAGCTTATCATTGCCCATCAGTGCAGCTTATCATTGCCCGTCAGTGCCTCCTCATCAGTGCAGCCTCGTCAGTGCAGCTTATCATTGCCCATCATTGCAGCCTCGTCAGTGCCTCTTCACCAGTGCCCGTCAGCTCTTCTTCACCAGTGCCCATCAGTGCAGCCTCATCAGTGACTACCCATCAGTGCAGCTTATCATTGCCTGTCAGTGCCTCCTCATCAGTGCAGCCTCGTCAGTGCAGCTTATCATTGCCTATCATTGCAGCCTCATCTGTGCCTACCCATCAGTGCAGCTTATCATTGCCTGTCAGTGCCTCATCAGTGCAGCCTCATCAGTGTAGCTTATCATTGCCCATCATTGCAGCCTCATCAGTGCCTCTTCACCAGTGCCCGTCAGTTCTTCACCAGTGCCCATCAGTGCAGCCTCATCAGTGCTACCCATCAGTGCAGCTTATCATTGCCCGTCAGTGCCTCCTCATCAGTGCAGCTTATCATTGACTATCATTGCAGCCTCGTCAGTGCCTCTTCACCAGTGCCCGTCAGTTCTTCTTCACCAGTGCCCATCAGTGCAGCCTCCTACAAGCAGGGCCGGTGCTTCAACTAGGCAGCCACCTAGGGCGCGCTTCCACCTAGGGGCACCTGGGCGCAGCACAGGCCGGCATTCTTACTGTGTGGGATGCCGTCACGTCATGAATGATCCTTCAGCTGAGGGGAGGGGCGGCAGAGGGAAGAAAGAAAGGACAGCAGAAGATGCTGGATGTCTGGGGCCAATGTAGCAGCTGCCGAGCCTTCCAGTGTTCCTCTCAGACTCAGTCCCTTACTGCAAGACGAATGGTGGCTGCTGGTCACTGTGCAGTTCCAGTCCTTCTCTTCCCATTCAACGAAGCTGCGCCTGCAGAGGAAGGTAATGTCTGACTATGATGTCTCATGAGTGTGACCCGGCTGGCCTGCCATCCATCACATGTGCAATGTGCCAGTGAGTGATGACATCATCACGATCCCACAGCCTGCTCTCCTAGTGCCTGCTGATCTGTGTCAGTGTAGGTGTGTTGTGTCGGATCTGTCACTGTGTGGGATCCCTCAGTTCAGGTGTTCTCTGCGTCTGTGTGGGGGTTGGGCTGCCTGCTGTCACAGCGTTTTATCTCCCCCCCCATTGCTTAAGGATTTCCAGCCTCGGATCTGTCAGATTGTGTATCCATCAACCTCCACTCACTGCCACTGTCACCGTGCCACTGCCAGCCACAGATACAGTCCGTCCGTGACACAGATTTGGTCTTTAATATTGGTGCTGGTGGCATCTTATGGCGCTTATTTTTTGCAAATTTAAGAAATTTGCTGTTTCGCGTTTTGCTGATTTAATATTTTCTACTGTTTTTAAAAAGTTTTTTTGGGGGGGGGGGGGGGGCTCTAGTAGCTGGTCTTGCCTAGGGCATGAAATAGTCTAGCTCCGGCTACAAGCGGCCTTTTCAACACACGTTATGCAAGCATGGTCCATTGCTGTCACCATCAGGTCCCCAGCCCCGCCATGGAGCCATTGCTGGAGCAAATGCATTTAGACAGAGAGAGGCCACAGAAGATTTGCTATATAGAAAGCGAAAACCAATGGCATGGGAAACCCCCTCAATGCCCTCATTTTTTTAAATTTTTTTTTTTTATTTCAGAGAATACTTACAGAGTGCGGGAATATTAGATGGCCGCTACCGTGCACAGAAGCTGGAGGATGGTACAGTGGCCCTTCCAGTGCTCAAAGAGAAGATCAGTGTGTCTGTCCTGAGGGAGCTCATGGAAGCCGTGGCCCCTGGAAGCTCTTGCAGGGAAACATTAATCAAGGTGAATATTTGAATGCCATGGTAGGAATATACTGTAGGCTGAATTCACTAAGCTACAATGCATGGGTTACATGCCATTGACTTTGCTTGCTGTACATGGTCAGCGAAGTGTACACTCTTAGCATTTGTAAAGGCTCACAGGTAAGTGTACCCCCCCCCCCCCCACCCTCTCGTTTCAGTCTTGCACAGTTGTACCGGCTCCTTTCCTGAACTGAAACGGCTTACTCTGATTTCACTGCACACTGTGAGCTTCTCACAATGTGCATTAGAAGCTGCAGCAAGTCAGATTGAGCTCCGCCTCATTTCATGGCTGGAGGATGTCCAGTAGCATCCAGCCTCTTTTCTCCCCATCCTCACTTAGCAGATTCCAGTTCAATCATGGAGTCTCAGCATCACATAATGCGTGTTACCTAGGGCCATCTACATGCGAAAGCAGCCTGCCTAGGAACACCCTCCAGGCAGATGCATTTTGATATTTGCATAGCCCCTCCGAAGGACCGGCTCACTACTTGCATCAGGGTTAAGGACTTTTAAAAGGAGTATTATGAAAGCAATCTGACAGCTGTACAGCCACCCCTGAACACCGGTAGTGTGCCGCCCATGCTTTCTGGACTCCGTTGTCCCTCCTGCAGGTCTGGGACCCACATGGTGGATGTTGCCAAGGAGAAGACCAGTCGCCTATGGAAAATATAGTTCATCATCATTTTGCAGGTGCATGCAAATTTAAAGCTTGACATGTTTGGTATCTACTTACTTGGCGCAACCTCATCTTTTATATTTTACCCCCTCAGAAAAATGGGGTAACATATTTAATTTATTTATTTCAGGTACAGAATAAGTATGTAACTTATCCAATCCTCCACTCCCCCAGAGCTCCTTCATGCTCCGGCGGTGGACTGTCCCTTGGCATCATCACGGCCTATGGACCCTGCACTGGTCTTGATGATGTCAGGACTTTAGACAGCTGTAGCATGCAGGAAGACGCTGCGGGACCTGGCCTGGCCTAGCCACTCGGAGGACTGGGTAAGTAAATCTTCTTTTCCATGCCCCCTAGAACTAAATGAGCAGTTAACCCCTGTAGCGCGCGCCAAGAAGAATATTCACATTTCGTGGCATAAGGCTTTATTTATTTATTTCAGGTACTTATATAGCGCCGTCGATTTTACGCAGCACTTTACATATACATTGTACATTCACATCAGTCCCTAACCTCAAGGGGCGTACAATCTAAAGTCCCTAACTCACATTCATACATACACATACTAGGGACAATTTAGACAGGAGCCAATTAACCTACCAGCATGTCTTTGGATTGTGGGAGGAAACCGGAGTACCCGGAGGAAACCAACGCAGTCACGGAGAACATGCAAACTCCAGGCAGGTGGTGCCGGGGTTTGGATTCGCACTAGCGACCCTAGTACTGCCGGGGGGAAGTGATAACCATTTAGCCACTGTATGGCTTCAATTTTGCAGTAAGCCGTAAAACACAATTTATGGGTAAGCACAAAAATCTAAATTTCTTTATTGCACATCAAGGGACAGAGACCAAGTTTTTTCATCCTTATAAACAGGAATGTCCAAAAGCACTGAATATGAAGGGAGGGCACAACAGGAGCAAGCCAACAGGCCCCATAAACAAAAAAGAAACATCACGCAAAACACCAACCAAAAGGTAGCATCCACAGTGGTTCCAACATCTTCCTGGTAAAACTTGTAAAAGTGTGTAACAAAGACCAGGTAGTGGCTTTCAAACTTAACCATTTGCCGCCTGCCCTATGGCCGAATGGTGGGCGGCAAATGTCATCAGCGTTCCGGGTGGACACCATATGGCGTCCTCCCACAAATGCGCAGATTGCGCTCCTGCAGAGCGGCGCAGTGGCGCGATCTGTCACGGCCTTGTACCTCGGACACGGCCCATGACAGATCTGAGTATCGGCCCCGTTGCCGGTACCATGTGACCTGCTGTGACCAATCACAGCAGGTCACATGACAGTTGTATACAATGGATGGCTTCATTCATGCCATCCATTGTATACTAGTGTCTAGCTGTGAATGGTCACAGCTAATCACATGTCATGTGATTTGCTGTGGCCAAATCACAGCTAAGCACAAAAAAAAAAAAAAAAAAATACCTGAATGAATCGATGTCATTCAGGTAAATGCTTGCTTATAGCAAAGTAATTCTTTGCTATAAGCAAATTTGTAAAAAAAAATACTGATCACTTCCCCAAAGTAGTACAATGTTACTATGGTAACATTGTACTACTTTGGTCATAGTGAAATGTGAAAAAAAAATCTTAAAAAAATTAAAAAAATTTAATAAAAAATAATTTAAAAAAATATATAATTTTTTTTTTTTTCATACTGTCACCAGTCAGTGTCCCTGATCACCACCATGCCAGTTATATGATGACGCTGTACTGCACTGGTGACAGTATGTAAAAAAAAAAAAATAATGAAACTAATTTTTTTTTAATTTTTTCCGAAAAAATTATGACAAAAAAAAATACAACTTCAAAAAACTCGCCATTCCTTTTATGAAGTACGTCCGACTGTCTACTTTGCAAAAAAAGGGGGTCATTTGGGGGATATCTGTACTGTCCTGACATTTGGGGGATATCTGTACTGTTCTGACATTTGGGGGATATCTGTACCGTCCTGACATTTGGGGGATATCTGTACCGTCCTGACATTTGGGGGATATCTGTACTGTTCTGACATTTGGGGGATTATCTGTACTCGTCCTGACATTTGGGGGATATCTGTACCGTCCTGACATTTGGGGGATATCTGTTACTGTTCTGACAGTTGGGGGATATCTGTACCGTTCTGACATTTGGGGGATATCTGTACCGTCCTGACATTTGGGGGATATCTGTACTGTTCTGACATTTGGGGGATATCTGTACTGTCCTGACATTTGGGGGATATCTGTACTGTTCTGACTTTTGGGGGATATCTGTACTGTCCTGACATTTGGGGGATATCTGTACTGTCCTGACATTCTTGGACCTCAAGAAAATTAGATTGGCTGTCAGTACTTCAGGATTGATCAATTTTCAGATCTATCCCATAGTTTGTGAACTCTATAACTTTCCTACAAACTAAATAATACCTAATAATTTGGGTTATTTTCACCAAAGACATGGAGCAGAATACATCTCGGCCTAAATTTATGAAGAACAATTATTTATTTGCAAACTGTTATAACAGAAACAAAGAAAAAACGTTTTTTTTTTCAAAAGTTTTGGTCTTTTTTTGTTAATTTTAGCAAACAATAAAAACCCCAGCGGTGATTAAATACCACCAAAAGAAAGCTCTAGTTGTGTGAAGAAAATGATAAAATTTTAATTTGTGTACAATGTTGTATGACCACGCAATTGTCATTCAAAGTGTGAGAGCGCTGAAACCTGAAAAATGGCCTGGGCAGGAAGGGGGAAAATTGCTCGGTATGGAAATGGTTAAGCTACTGAAATTTGATGACGGAAAGCCCAGGCTGCACCTACACTCCTGGTTGAAAAAGTCGTCATGTAGAAAAAGTGGAATCTATCCTTTCAAGCCATAAGTTTGAGAAATAAGCTGACGTAATATATTGTGTTTCTGTGCACTAAAATGAACTTGACTGTATTTTTAACTGAAATTTTGCACTTGAGAATCGGTTGTGCAAATATCACATGACCTAAAAAAAAAAAAAAAATTTAAAGAGAGCCACTGTTTGATTCTCCAGGGTGTCTGCTTTCAAAAAATATATCATTTTTCAGGGTTTTAACTAATCTTCTGGCCAAAAATTATTATTATTTTTTTTTTTTTGTTTAAACGTGCAAAAACAAAAAAAAAAAAAAAATTAAGCAAAAATGGCTCTGGTTACATTTTAGATTTACGCATATGTTGAAAAAAGGACACCAGTCAACCACTAAAAAGGAAAAAAAAACATACACAATCCTATGCCCACAGTTAAAGTTATCCCAGCAAAGCATGATCCAAAGGAAATCGGATAGTCCCTGGATCAAACTTTACCTATGAATGTTAAAGTTATTTATTATTTCACCACTTCTAATAGTTTTAAGTGGCAAATCCATAAATAACTAAAAAAATTAAATAAATAAAGCTTAAAATTCTGATGTGCTGCAGACTTTAGCTGAGAAATTTGCTGATCAGCTGCTTGAACATGCACATCTAAAGGGATGTTGGGGATGTGTTTTTTTCATATAATGTTCCAGAACAAAATGATTGATGGCAGATATCTACAAGCTGCGAGAGACAGGCAGCCTAGTTGTGAGTAGATACTGTCATAATCTGTGTTTTAGAATATAATTCCCTAAGAACGCCAATTCAAACCAGTGCATGTAATGTGGTTTTTTTAGGGTTTTTTTTTTTCTGCTTGTCTGCCTTCTAGAATCCTGTACTCTCTAAACGTGCCAGAGTTCAATCACCAGCCCAGAAGTTACGTACGGACCTGTGCGAGCTGTTGGAGCGCCACGGCATCATCTGGAGGAGGAACCTGGAGCACGACCTTCCTCACTCATGGCAGCGACATGGCGACTTAGTTGTCCTCAGCGGAGACTGCTTTTGTGATCCTTTATGGAAGCAGCTGGGTAGGTGCTGGACCTGTATCCTGCCGGCGAGCGTTGTAACCAATCAGAAAAGTGAACATCGTGGCTTGGGGGGGTATCTTTATTTAATTACTTACAGGTATCGAGCTTTGGGTGCAAGTAGCCAGTTCTCTTGGAGTGAAACGCGTGGCCAAGCAAGGTCGAATACAGGACGATGGCTGGAGGACTCCGAATGTGACCCTGCTACTTGGGGACGACGGATGGGTGGAGCATGTGGATAATGGCATCAGGTAGGTAATATAAAGAATATATCAAGAGAATGAATATGAAGATATAAGTTGACGTATACAAGCAAAGCGTGGTTAGCGGTGAGGGCAGGGGGATGACGGGATAGTGGCGGGTGTGGTGGTCACAGTTGTGGGGGAGCCCTGGCATGATTGTAGGTCAGGCGCAATGGTCAGGGTGAATCGGCATGCAAGGATGGTGGTGCGCGTGGTGCATGCTGGGGGGGGTGGAAGGGTATTTGCTCCCATTTGGTCTTTTAGGTATGACCGATATCTCCTGAGTTGATAACTTACCGTACTGCCTGTCTGGACTGCATTCTTATCAGTCACATTGTTCCCTGCTCTCTCTGTGGACTACAGAACACTTCTCCCGCTATGGAGGAGGAGTCCTGTAGTCCTAACACATTTCCTGTCCTGGGGAGACAATGCTGCTTCTCTGTACATGTAGAACGGCAAGTGAACTGTGACACCCTAGGAAAGGAAGTGTGCTCAAGTGTGGTGCAGCACAGTGGCTAAATGGTTAGCACTTCCGCCTGGCAGTACTCGGGTCGTTGGTTCGAATCCCAGCCACGGCGCCACCTGCCTGGAGTTTGCATGTTCTCCCTGTGCCTGTGTGGGTTTCCTCCGGGTACTCCGGTTTCCTCCCACACTCCAAAGACATGCTGGTAGGTTAATTAGCTCCTGTATAAATTGGCCCTAGTATGTGTATGTATGAATGTGGGTTAGGGACCTTAGATTGTACACCCCTTGAGGGTTAGGGACTGATGTGAATGTACAATATATATATATGTAAAGTGCTGTGTAAATTGATGGCGCTATATAAGTACCTGAAATAAATAAAAATAAAGCCTTCTTCCACGAAATGTGAATATTCTTCTTGGCGCGCGCTACAGGGGTTAACTGCTCATTTAGTTCTAGGGGGCATGGAAAGGAAGATTTACTTACCCAGTCCTCCGAGTGGCTAGGCCAGTTCCCGTTTCGTCTTCCTGCATGCTACAGCTGTCTAAAGTCCTGACATCATCAAGACCAGTGCAGGGTCCATAGGCCGTGATGATGCCAAGGGACAGTCCACCGCCGGAGCATGAAGGAGCTCTGGGGGAGTGGAGGATTGGATAAGTTACATAGTTATTCTGGCTGAAAAAAAGACAAAAGTCCATCCAGTTCCAAAAAAAAAAAAAATGATAATCCTATACCCACAGTTGATCCAGAGGAAGGCAAAAAAAAACCCAGCAAAGCATGATCCAATTTTCACCTGCAGGGGAAACAAATTCCTTCCTGATCCCCCGAGAGGCAATCAGATATTCCCTGGATCAACTTTACCTATAAATGTTATATCCAGTTATATTCTGTGTAAGTAAAATTGGAAGGCGGGGGGGAATATCATCAGTCTCCCCTCTCCTCCTGATTTGTACTGTACTTCCCCGCCTCTTACAGCTGTGTTCTGCCATTTAATCATTTGTTCCTGAGCATTATATGAAAGAACCCATCCCAGGGATCCCTTTTTAGATGTGCATTCTCAAGTAACTGATGAGCAGATTGCACAGCTAAAGTCTGCAGCTCTCAGTGGCGAACAAGGAGAAGCATGCACATCTAAAGGAATGCCGAGGATGTGTTCTTTTCATATAATTCTGAAAGAAGACTTGAGGCAGAATACTGTGACATTTACAGAAGCCTTCTTGCCCCTCCCACTGAATGCGGAGCAAAAAATAAGCAAACAGCCTCAGTGATGACATCACTGGGTGAGGTATTTCTTGAAAATAAAACAATTTGACTAAAAAACGGTAATTGCATGTTGATATGGAAGGAGGGGGGGGTGGGGGTGACAAGGCAAGGTATTACATGTATACATGACACTTCAGCTTTAACTCTCTTCAGGTACTCGTTTGATGTCACCAAGTGCATGTTTTCTGCTGGAAACATTGTGGAAAAACAGAGACTATCAACACTTTGCTGTTCCAAAGAGACAGTTGTGGATCTCTATGCAGGTGAAGTATGAACTAGCGCTTTTTTTAAAAGGACATCGCCAGGCTCCAAGCCCCCTTTTCTAAAACCTCCTACCCACAGCTAAGGCCTGAGCTCACAGAAATTGATCGCATCACAATGGAGCTCGTTAAAGTGAACCCAGGGGCGTGTCTAAGAGCCTGGGTTCACAGCATGGGGTTTAAAGACGCAAAGTCGTTGAAGCGAGAATAGGGGTTTGTCTAAGAGCACCTGCGCTCCTAGAAATGGGTTGAATGGGATGGGGCAATATTGAAGTGACCCTGGGGGTGTGTCCAATAGATCCTGGGCTCACAGAAGGGGATTTAATGACCCCGGGCATAATTGAAGCTACCTTAAGGGTGTGTCCAAGAGAACCCAGGTTAACAGTGTTGGGGTTCAAAGTTGCTGAGCATCATTGAACGGACCATAGAGTTGTGTCCAGAAGCACCTGGGCTCATAGAGATGGGTTGAATGACACTGGGCTTCATTGAAGTGACCCTGGGCTTCTGTCAAAGAGAGCCTGAGTTCACAGGGTTTAAAGATGCTGAGCTTCGGTAAAGAGACCATTGGGGTGTGTCAAAGAGCGCCTGTCCAATAAAAATGAGTTGAATGACACAGAACATCATTAAAGTGACCCCGTATGTTCTTTTCAATTTGAGCCTGGGATCACAGGAAGGAATTTAAAGACATTGAGCATCACTGAAGGGATCATAGTGGTATGTCCAAGAGTGCCTGGGATCCCAAGATGGGATTTAGGGACACTGGGAGTCACTAAAGGGATTGTAGGGGTCTGTCCAAGAGCGCCACAGCTCATAGAAATGAGTTTAATGACACAGGACATCATTGAAGTGACCCTGGGGCTCTGTCCAAGAGAGCCTGGGTACACGGTATAGAGTTATAGACAATTCATTGTCATTGAAGGGGGCCAAAGGTGTATGTCCAAGAGTGCCTGGGCTCTTAGAAATGGGTTGAATGGCACAAGACATCATTGAGGTGACCCTGGGGTTCTGTCCAAGAGAGCCTGGGGTCACAGGATGGGGTTAGACACTGGGAGTCACTGAAGGGACCATAGGGGCATTTAAATACGTAAAACAGAAGAAGCAACCATGGCACTTTTACAGATACTGCCAAAACGACCCAACACAGATTATTCTTGAAAAATCTATACGTCTTATTTACAATACATTACATATCAATACATAAAATACAAGGCTGGTACCTATACAAATATCATTGTCACATCATTCCCTCTACATCTCCGTCCTATCGTTCCCTCTACGTCTCCGTCCCATCGTTCCCTCTACGTCTCCGTCCCATCGTTCCTTCTACGTCTCCGTCCCCATCGTTCCTTCTACGTCTCCGTCCCATCGTTCCCTCTACGTCTCCGTCCCGCATCGTTCCCTCTACGTCTCCGTCCCATCGTTCCCTCTACGTCTCCGTCCCATCGTTCCCTCTACGTCTCGCGTCCCATCGTTCCCTCTACGTCTCCGTGTTTCCCTCTCGTTCCCTCTAACGTCTCCGTCCCATCGTTCCCTCTACGTCTTCACGTCTCCGTCATCCATCGTTCCCTCTACGTCTCCCGTCCCATCGTTCCCTCTACCTCTCCGTCTCCCATCGTTCCCTCTACATCTCCGTCCTCGTCTCCTTCATCCTCTACGTTCTCCTATCGTTCCCTCTACACCTCCTCATATCGTGTTCCCTCTACGTCTCCGTCCCATCGCTCCCCTCTACACGTCCGTCCCGTCGTTCCTCTACACGTCCGTCCCGTCGTTCCCTCTACGTCTCCGTCCCGTCGTTCCCCTCTACGTCTCCGTCCCGTCGTTCCCTCTACGTCTCCGTCCCCGTCGTTTCCCTCTACGTCTCCGTCCCGTCGTTCCCTCTACGTCTCCGTCCCGTCGTTCCCTCTACGTCTCCGTCCCTCCCTCTACGTCTCCGTCCCGTCGTTCCCTCTACGTCTCCGTCCCCGTCGTTCCCTCAATACTACGTCTCCGTCCCGTCGTTCCCGTTCCTCTACGTCTCCGTCCCGTCGTTCCCTCTCTTCGTCTCCCGTCCCGTCGTTCCCTCTACGTCTCCGTCCCCTCGTTCCCTCTACGTCTCCGTCCCATCGTTCCCGTTCCTCTACGTCTCCGTCCTATCGTCGTTCCCTCTACACCTACCGTCGTTTCCTCTACTACGTCCTCCGATTTCCCTCTACGTCTCCGTCTCCCCATCGCTCCTCTCTCTACACGTCCGTCCCCGTCGTTCCCGTCTACGTACGTCCGTCCCGTCGTTCCCTCCTCTACGCCTCCGTCCCGTCGTTCCCTCTACGCCTCCGTCCCGTCGTTCCCTCTACGCCTCCGTCCGTCCGTCGTTCCCTCTACGTCGCCTCCGTCCCTCCCTCTACGTCCCTCCGTCCCGTCGTTCCCCTACGCCTCCGTCCCGTCGTTCCCTCTACGTCCAACGTCCGTTCCCCCGTCGTTCCCTCTACACGTCCGTCCCATCGCTCCCTCTACACGTCCGTCCCCTCGTCCCGTCGCTCCTCCTACACGTCCCGTTACCATCGCTCCCTCTACACGTCCCCCGATCCCGTCCCATCGCTCCCTCTACACGTCCCGTCGTCCCATCGCTCCCTCTACACTTCGCTTGGCTCCCGTCCGTTCCCATCGCTCCCTCTACATTTCCATCATACAACGTAATGCAGATCATACAAATTTTTTGAGGTTCTAACACCAGCTCTGGCTGTCTGGCTAACAATCATGAATAACTTGATGGATCTGGAGAGCTTTGGTGGCTGGAGACCTCGATAGAATGGAACCATGTTCTCCGCTACAGCCGCCAATGCCTGCCTGCCATAGTTTGATACAGACACGTTGCGTTGTGTATTCTAGGTATTGGTTACTTTACACTCCCATTCCTGGTCCATGCCGCTGCCGCCTTTGTCCACGCCTGCGAGTGGAATCCTCATGCTGTAGAAGCTTTGCAGAGAGAAATCTGGAAATGAACAAAGTCTCTCATCGATGCCAAGTACACGAAGGAGATAACAGAGAGGTAATGTTCCCATCATTCTTATTATTCATTACCACTTGCCTACCGGGCCAACTGCTGACACTTCTCTCCTACATGTAAAAAGCATCATTTATTTTGCTAGAAAACTGCTTAGAACCCCCAAATAAATACAAAAATAAAATATGTGTGTGTGTGTGCGCCCACGCACGCACGCATGCGCACACAAACACACAGTATCTCACAGAAGTGAGTCCACCCCTCACATTTTTGTAAATATTCTATTCTCTCTCTTCATGTGACAACACTGAAGAAATGACACTTTGCTACAATGTGACGTAGTCAGTGTACAGCTTGTATAACATGTAAATTTGCTGTCCCCTCAAAATAACTCAACACACCGCGATTAATGTCTAAACCGCTGGCAACAAAAGTGAGTCCACCCCTGAGTGGTAATGTCCAAATTGGGTCCAATGAGCTATTTACCCTCCCTGGTGTCACGTGACTCCTTAGTGGTACAAGGTCTCAGGTGTGAATGGGGAGCAGGCGTGTTCAATTTGGTGTTATCGCTCTCACTCTCTCTTACTGGTCACTGGATGTTCAACATGGCGCCTTATGGCAAAGAACTCTCTGAGGATCTGAAATAAAGAATCGTTGCTCTACTTAAAGATGGCCTAGGCTATAAGAAGATTGCCAAGATTGGTGTGATCAGATGCTTTACTAATTTAGAAATGGCGGTTTAAATCTGGGAAATCGCAAATGACGAAATTGCTCGTCGCTTCCTATGCCTTAGAGATCACCAGGGACCTTCTGGTCCTTGACAATCTCTATGGTCAGCGCTGGCTGCAATCCTGAGCTCCCCAGTGGGACAGTAGCGTCCAGGAAGGCAGTGGGAGGGGGGGAGGGGGGGGGACCTCCTGCCGCCTATAAAAGTGATCCAGCAGTTAATTAGCTGCTAGGATCGCTTTTACAAATAATAGAAATCGCTGGTTGAATACAAAGATACTGGGATGATGCCTGTAGCTGCAGCTCCCAGTAGAACCACTTCTTGTTGTATGTGGGCTGCAAGTGGTTGAAGTGGGAGAAAAAAAAAATTTGTCCACTTTAACCATTTTCCACCCAAGGACGTGTTTTCGTTTTTGCATGTGTCTCTGTTGAAGAAATTGCCCCTCATTTCCTGTCCTGGCAGGAAGTAAGGGGGGGCGCATTTGCCACCTGGGCCAATATCATACGATATGTTGGGCTGGCACCCATCTTTCACCATACCGACCAATGCCTGTGGCACCACGGCACAATTTGCGTTGTACACCTTTTTTTTGTTCTCTGTCTTCCCTTGATAATCTATATACGTAGAACAGTCATCATCAATCCCCGGCATGCATGCCCAAGTGGCTACGTGATACTGTTTGCGCTAGCACCCTCTGCCATTGGCTATAGTTGTCCGCTCATTAGGGTGTCAAAAAAAAAAAGCTTGGACCACCCAACTGCCTAAAGCCACTGAAACAGCCGTGACATTGACGTACTGTGTGGAAGAAGCACACACATGCCTACAGCGGAGCTCTACGTTTCTAAAGGTTCGGGGTTTAGGGGATGATCTGAGGTCTGAAGGGCATGCACTGGGGTTGGCCTGAAGTGTGAAGGTGCATGAACTGGGGCTGAGCTGAGGTCTGAAGCTGATGCATTGCGGCTTATCTGAGGTTGGAAATGCATGCGCTGCGGCTGATCTGAGGACTCAATTTTATGCATTGGGGGCTGATCTGAGGTCTGAAGTGTATGCATTGGGGCTGATGTGAGATGCATGCATTGGGGCTGATGTGAGATGCATGCATTGGGGCTGATCTGAGGTCTGTAGTGCATGCATTGGGGCTGATCTGAGGAGTCAATTTTATGCATTGGGGACTGATCTGAGGTCTGAAGTGTATGCATTGGGGCTGATCTGAGGTCTGTAGTGCATGCACAGGGGCTGATCTGAGGTCTGTAGTGCATGCACAGGGGCTGATCTGAGGTCTGTAGTGCATGCACAGGGGCTGATCTGAGGTCTGTAGTGCATGCACTGGGGCTGATCTGAGGTCTGTAGTGCATGCACTGGGGCTGATCTGAGGATTGAAATGCATGCTTTGAGGCTGATCTCCGAATTGGACGTGCTCTGAGGTCTCAAGTTTATACATTGGGGCTGATCTGAGGCCTTCAAGTACATAAATTGAGGGCTGATCTGAGGTCTACATTGTATGCTTTTGGGCTGATCTTAGGTCTGTAGTGTATGTATTGGGGCTGATCTGAGGCCTTTAGTGTATGCACTGGGGCTAATCTGAGGTTTGAGGTGCAAGAATTGGAGCTGATCTGAGGTCTATAGTGTAGGCATTGGGGCTGATCTGAGGTCTGAAGGTACATTGAATTGGGGATGATCTGAGGTCTATAGTGTATGCATTAGAGCTGATCTGAGGTCTATAGTGTATGCACTGGGGCTGATCTGAGGTCTATAGTGTATGCACTGGGGCTGATCTGAGGTCTATAGTGTATGCACTGGGGCTGATCTGAGGTCTATAGTGTATGCACTGGGGCTGATCTGAGGTCTATAGTGTATGCACTGGGGCTGATCTGAGGTCTATAGTGTATGCACTGGGGCTGATCTGAGGTCTATAGTGTATGCACTGGGGCTGATCTGAGGTCTATAGTGTATGCACTGGGGCTGATCTGAGGTCTGAAGGTATATTGAATTGGGGATGATCTGAGATCTGAAGGTATATTGAATTGAGGCTGATCTGAGGTCTGAAGGTACATTGAATTGGGGATGATCTGAGATCTGAAGGTATATTGAATTGAGGCTGATCTGAGGTCTGAAGGTACATTGAATTGGGGATGATCTGAGATCTGTAGCGTATGCACTGGGGCTAATCTGAAGTTTGAAATGCATGCATTGGGACTGATCTGAGTTATGATCGTGCATGATCTAAAAATTTGAAGTGTATACATTGGGCTGATCTGAGACCTAAAGGTACATGAATTGGGGTTGATCTGAGGTTTGAAGTGCATGCATTGGGGCTGATCTGAGGTCTGTAGTGTATGCATTGGGGCTGTGTGAATCGCATGCCATATAGGCCGATCTGAGGTCCGAAGTGCATGTATTGAAGCTAAACTTAGACCTGCAGTGAATGCGTTGGTGTGCTGCTTCAGGTATTCAGCAGAAGTCAGGTAATCGCGGAGCATTTTCCTAAACTAAAAGTACCATCCGTAACAACCAGACTTTCCCCGTTGTTAACAATGACCATTTGTTCCATTGTGTGTTCGTTATACAACGTAGTGTGTGTATATATGATTCTGTGATTGATCTCCTTCAGTTGAGGTTGGAAGATGTTGCCGACCGCGTGAACTTGGGCCTCATCCCCACATCAGAAGCTGGTTACCCCATAGCTTGTAAACTCCTGAAGAAAAACTCTGGCGGTGTGCTCCACATCCACCACAACGTCAACTGCTTTCTGGGCAAGCAAGGAGCGGGTGCAGGGGATGCCGAGGACAAACCTTGCAGTTGGAGGACGTTGGCTTGGAGGAAGTGGGCGGAGTCAGTGGAGATTAAAATCCAGAGTATGCTTTCGGAGGTTCATGGTGCCCCGTGGCAGGCTAAGATCTTGCAGGTGAAGAAAGTGAAGTCCTATGCTCCTCACGTGGACCATGTAGTCTTGGATCTTGACTGCCGACCGTTGTCAGGCCTGTGATTGGTGGTTTTATTTTATTTTTTTATTTTTTTTATTTGTTTTATGCATTCCTATTGGTCATTATCAATACCATGTGTCCTTAAAGATCTCTAAAATGCAAAATGATATCAGTTGGCTTGTGTCACTATTAACATTGACATATTGATGGAAGCTGCTCATATTTGTCATAAAACTTGGATGAAGAAGAGATGTCGTACGTCGTTGGAAAAAAAAATAATTGGAAAACCGTTTTGCTGCTTATATTCTACTGATCAAATATTAACACCCCCGCCCAACTCATCCTTCATATTTTTTTTTTTGCCTCAGCCGTAGTTTGGGTCCCTCGCCAACGGTGTCTTCGGGTGCCATGAACTGCCAAATCCAGTGCTCATGCCGGCTGGTTCCCAACTGCCTCCCCGCTTTGATGTCACTCCTTTTCCAGATCATCCACGTCTGGGTGAAATAGCTGTTACAAATAATTGTTCGAATATACCCTTTAAAGTAGAAGGTTAGCTAAAAAAAAAAATTTTTTTTCTCTACAGCTTTGGTTCCATGGCCTACCTGTAATGAAGGATGTCCCATGATGTTAAGGCAGCTGGATTCTGTAGCTAATCTTCATTGCAGGGCTGCCCTATCCCCTTCCTGTGGTGCTGTGTGGGTTAACAGCGTCGGGTCTCCGAGCTCAGTTGCATTAACGGTGATCCAACAGGGAAATCTTCACTGCAGGGCTGCCCTGTCCTCTTCCTGCGGTGCTGTGTGGGTTAACAGCATTTGGTCTCCGGGCTCAGTTGCACTAACATTCTGATAGGGAAATCTTCACTGCAGGGCTGCCCTATCCACTTCCTGCAGTGCTGTGTGGGTTAACCGTGTCGGGTCTCTCGGCTCAGTTGCACTAACGATGATCCGACAGGGAAATCTTCACTGCAGGGCTACCCTGTCCTCTTCCTGAGGTGCAGTGTGGGTTAACAGCGTTGGGTCTCTGGGCTGAGTTTCACTAACAATGATCCGACAGGGAAATCTTCACTGCAGGACTGCCCTGTCCTCTTCCTGCGGTACTGTATGGGTTACCAGCGTTTGGTCTCTGGGCTCAGTTGCACTAACGATGATCCGACAGGGAAGTCTTCACTGCACGGCTGCCCTGTCCTCTTCCTGTGTGCTCTGTGGGTTAACAGTGTCGGGTCTCTGAGCTCAGTTGCATTAACGGTGATCTGACAGGGAAATCTTCACTGCAGGGCTGCCCTGTCTTCTTCCTGCGTGCTCTGTGGGTTCAGAGCATTGGGTCTCTGGGCTCAGTTGCACTAACGATGATCCGACAGGGAAATCTTCACTGCAGGGCTGCCCTGTCCTCTTCCTGTGGTGCTATGTGGAGTAAGAGCATTGGGTATCTGGGCTCCGTTGCACTAACGATGATCCGACAGGGAAATCTTTACTACAAGGCTGCCCTGTCCTCTTCCTGTGGTGCTGTGTGGGTTAACAGCATTTGGTCTCCGGGCTCAGTTACACTAACGTTCTGATAGGGAAATCTTCACTGCAGGGCTACCCTGTCCTCTTCCTGAGATGCAGTGTGAGTTAACAGTGTTGGGTCTCTGGGCTGAGTTGCACTAACGATGATCCGACAGGGAAATCTTCACTGCAGGGCTACCCTGTCCTCTTCCTGAGGTGCAATGTGGGTTAACGGTGTTGGGTCTCTGGGCTCAGCTGCACTAAAGATGATCTGATGGGGACACACACCCCTTTTGCCCTCTCCTCCAATAATAAAAGTACTTTCACAGATTAAACTTCCTTAAGAAATTGGGGGGGGGGGGGGGAGTCTGATCAGTTACAGGATTCTCTCCCCCTATCACAGAAAATAAGTTGCCTGTAATATTTTCTGTGATTGGGGGAGAGAATCCTGTGACTGATCAGACTCACCCCCCCCCCCCCATTTCCCAGACAGTCTAATCTGTGAAAGAGCTTTTCTCAATGGAGGAGGGGGCGTGTCCCTGTCGGATCATCTGTAGTGCAGCTTAGCCTGGAGAATCAAGACGGTTAACCATCACCAGGAGTTCAGCAGCAGGAAGAGGACGGGGCAGCCCCTGCAGTAAACGGTTTCTACAGAATCCAGCAGCCTGCAGATCATGGAACATTCTTCATTATAGATAAGTCGTGTAACTACAGCTGTAGAGAATTTTTTTTTTTATTTTAACTACATTTCAGCTGTAGGGCAACATTTTCACCTCCCAAAACTCCCGCAAAAAGAAGCGGTACATAACGCCCCGTTAGCCCATCTCTCCTATATGCCCTCCATTGATGTGGTGCATCCTCTGACAAACTCCTCCTCTTACTGGGTGCATCAGATGCGAATCCCTGACCAATGCACACAACGCAGGCGGACAGCGTTCAGGATGCCCGTGAAGATCCGTACAGCCTTCTGTCTGTCATTTATTTTGCCCCCTGGACAGGTAAACACGGATCTGTGCTCAGGTGTACTGATCAGATTACTTGTGTAAACGGGCCCTTATTTACTCGTATTCATTTCCCGATGTAGTCACCGGATAGCAGTCAACATTTTTGCCGACAGTACGTGAAGCCGTCACGGCAGAAGTCCGCATTCGTCCGCCACCGTGTCCTGATGATGTTGGGTTTACGATTTCACATTTGTGTTTCTGCATTAAATTATATTTTGGTCAGCTATTGGAAAATACGTGTCATTTCCTTCTTATTGTATGCCGTTCTGTTTACAGTCGGGATTCACCGTGATTTATCGTCTTTTGTCTCTATCGGTTTTTATTTGGAACTAAACTCTTTCCATCTTCCAACTGTTTGTTTTTTTCATTTTCTAAAAACTGACTCTGTAATCCCTTCCCGTTGCTTCCCTCCTTTTTCTAAAATAATTTACAAAGTATCTTTTTGAGCTTTTTTTGATCAATGGACACACCAAAGGCCACAACTCCTATATGAAAGACGGATCACTTACTGCTCAGCCATCGTGTCCTGGTGACGTTCCCAAATGTTTACAATTTCACATTTATGTTCTGCATTAAATTATATTTTGGTCAGCTATTGGAAAATACGTGTCATTTTCTTCTTATTGTATGCCGTTCTGTTTACATTCAAGATTTCTCATCTTTTGTCTCTATCGGTTTCTATTTTCAACCAAACTCTTTCCACCTTCCAACTGTTTGTTTTTTTTTGTTTTAAAAAAAAAAAACTGACTCTGTAAACCCTTCCCGTTGCTTCCCTTCTTTTTTCTAAAATATTTTACAAAGTACCTTTTTGAGCTTTTTTTGAACAATGCACACACCAAAGGCCACGACTCCTATATGAAAGACAGATCACTTACTGCTCCGCCACCGTGTCCTGATGACGTTCCCAAATGTTGGGTTTACAATTTATTATTTGCGTTCTGCATTAAATTATATTTTGGTCAGCTATTGGAAAATACGTGTGATTTCCTTCCTATTGTATGTCGTTCTGTTTACATTCGGGATTTACCGAGAATTATCGTCTTTTGTCTCTATTGGCTTTTATTTGCAACTAAACTCATTCCATCTTCCAACTGTTTGTTTTTTTTTTTCATTTTCTAAAAAAACTGACTCTGTAAATTATTTTAGAAAAAATAGGGAAGCAACGGGAAGGGCTTACAGACTCAGTTTTTAGAAAATGAAAAAAACAAACAAACAGTTGGAATATGGAATGAGTTTAGTTGCAAATAAAAGCCGATAGAGACAAAAGACGATAATTCTCAGTAAATCCCGAATGTAAACAGAACGACATACAATAAGAAGGAAATGACACGTATTTTCCAATAGCTGACCAAAATATAATTTAATGAAGAACGCAAACAATAAATTGTAAACCCAACATTTGGGAACGTCATCAGGAGACGGTGGCGGAGCACTAAGTGATCTGTCTTTCATATAGGAGTTGTGGCCTTTGGTGTGTGCATTGATCAAAAAAAGCTCAAAAAGATACTTTGTAAATTATTTTAGAAAAAATAGGGAAGCAACGGGAAGGGATTACAAAGTATCTTTTTGAGCTTTTTTTGATCAATGCATACTCCAAAGGCCACAACTCCTATATGAAAAACGGATCACTTACTGCTCTGCCACAGTGTCCTGATGACGTTCCCAAATGTTGTTTACAATTTCACATTTTTGTTCTGCATTAAATTATATTTTGGTCAGCTATTGGAAAATATGTATAATTTCCTTCCTGTTGTATGCTGTTCTGTTTACATTCGGGATTTATCGTCTTTTGTCTCTATCGGTTTCTATTTTCAACCAAACTATTTCCACCTTCCATCTGTTTGTTTAAAAAAAACTGACTCTGTAATCCCTTCCCGTTGCTTCCCTTCTTTTTCTAAAATAATTTACAAAGTACCTTTTTTGAGCTTTTTTAGATCAATGCACACATCAAAGGTCACAACTCCTATATGAAAGACGGATCACTTACTGCTCTGCCACCGTGTCCTGATGACGTTCCCAAATGTTGTTTACAATTTCACATTTATGTTCTGCATTAAATTATATTTTGGTCAGCTATTGGAAAATACGTGTCATTTTCTTCTTATTGTATGCCGTTCTGTTTACATTCGGGATTTCTCATCTTTTGTCTCTATCGGTTTCTATTTCAACCAAACTCTTTCCACCTTCCAACTGTTTGTTTTTTTTTTGTTTTAAAAAAAAACTGACTCTGTAAATCCCTTCCCGTTGCTTCCCTTTTTTTTTTTTGATCTTTTTTGAGCTTTTTTTGCATTAAATTATATCAATGCACACACCAAAAAAAGGCCACAACTCCTATATGAAAGACAGATCACTTAGTGCTCCGCCACTGTCTCCTGATGACGTTCCCAAATGTTGGGTTTACAATTTATTATTTGCGTTCTGCATTAAATTATATTTTGGTCAGCTATTGGAAAATACGTGTCATTTCCTTCCTATTGTATGCCGTTCTGTTTACATTCGGGATTCACCGTGATTTATCGTCTTTTGTCTCTATCGGTTTTAATTTGTAATCAAACTCATTCCATCTTCCAACTG